AACGCTGCCTTGAGGCACTCCTCGGGAGCATCCAACAAATTGCGAAACTGAGTGTTCCACCCGTACACACTGCTGCCGCTCCGAGAGATAACTGAGGAACCATTCCAGTGGTGTGTCACAAATGCCAAGGTCAAACAGCACTTGCACAAGCCTGGCATGCTGGACTCTATCAAATGCCTTCGATAGATCTACCATTACTACCCCGGTGTGTTTTCGTTCCGATTTGGCCAATTTCCAGCGGTTGGAGGCAAGGATAAGAGCATCTTCTGTTGAGTGATTTCTTCGGTATGCAAATTGACTTGAAGGTAACAAGGAGTGATCATCTAGGAAAGTTGTCAGCTGTTTCTTGACAAAGTGTTCCAGTATGCGAGAAACAATAGGCAGTAGCGAGACGGGCCGATAGTTATGAGCTGACAGTGGGTCGCCATTCTTATACAATGGGCTGATAAGAGAATGTTTGAAAGTTGATGGCACTATACCAGACGCAAGAGATAAGTTGACGATCTTCATCAGGTATGGGGAGAGGGTGTCCGAGCAACGTTTCAACACAATACCTGGGATTCCATCACTTCCGGTAGCTTTATGTGGATCCACACATTGCAAACGCTTAGCGACATCATACAACGACACAGGTTGGAAGGCTGTAAGGGCATCAGATTTCGTAGGGCCAACTGGCATCTGTAGGTGCGTAGGTCGACTGGGGTCATGAACAACATCTGCAAAGAAGTCGCCCAGCTGGTCAGCTGATACCTGGGGTACTCGGCGGGTCTTCTTTCGTCCGGTGACAGTGTTCATCACGGACCAAAGTGTTAGGGCTACTACCATCGACTACTACTGTTCCGGACATGGAAATCCAGTCGATTGACCATGTTGACCGGGGCCGGCGCCCTCACCCTATAGCGCGTACAGAACGCTGCGTGCATGCAGTGCACAAAGACTACTGTAAAACTACACTGTAAGTCTGTAAGCCCATAATAGTAATAACGGAGTGCCAACTCTAACGAGTTGGAGAAATCTGTCGTTAAAATAAAAATCGTTATACAGAAATCGGGCGTCGGAAGGGATTTCACTCATTTCAGTGTGGTACGGTCAGCCATCTGAAGTACAATTTACTCATGGGGGAGGGATGGCTGAGCCGGAAATTTGGAGCCCAAATCAGTGCATTTTATTGATTCACGGGGTACTTGGGGCAAATAGTGGTACGGTCAATACCGTAGTGACCGTACCGTGTGCGACGCCCCTGGTTCAACTTCAAATCGATACATATTATACTGTCCTATTGAGCGTTGAGAATAAGTGAGCATTACCTATGGTACACGTAATCTAGTCAATTTTGGGAAATCGTTATAATATGCGCCTCGTTAGAATAATGGCTTTTACAGTAAGTCATGCTGATCCCATGCGACCAGCGCAATACTGTACAATTTTTTTATTTTTTATTTTTTATTTTACCGGTCACTACATTTTTTTCACACAGTCAAGCATATTTTCTTTCAAAGAAAACAAAAAAATTGTAAGTACGATGCAGCAAGTAAAGAAAACAGAGACAAGATAATTATTATCATTATTACTCAAATTTTGAAGATCAAAAGGAAAGCTTTGCAATAATAACAACAATAAAACGTAGCCTGTAGAATGTAAAAAGTCACTGAGTAGTACAGTTTAATTCAATATCCATGTCCAGTATTTATAATAAAAATAATCTGCTGCAATTTATAGATTCTCACATGCGAGCAACCTGGGCCTCAGCAACAACCAGCTCAGCAGACTCCGGATGCCGAACCGATCGCTCACGGAAAAGACCCCGTGGACCCCGCAAACACATGATGCATGATCGCAACAGGGCAAATGAGAGACGGCATCTGATGTAAGCTATTACGTGGGAGTACTGCTCCTTCATCCTTTCCGTTCTCAATAACGCGATTCGGCGATAGAGTGATGTCGCCGCTCTTCCCATGCCACCACTTGCCGACAGCACAACAGGCATGAACGTCGCATGCTCCACCTCTCTCACTCTCTCTTCATAACATCGTCGCTTTTCTTTTTCATGGCGCCGATAGACAGTGAGTGGTGTGTGGTGCAGATCGATTTGAGCGTGCATGAGGATTAAAAAACCCGTATATCAAGTAAAGTACGCTCAAAACGACTGCTCCACAAACCACTGACCGCTACATCAAGCCGCGCATGCTCCTCCACAATAGCAGACCTGTATCTCATTCTCTCTCCAGTGAGTGGCTGCAGCTGTGGGTCAATGGAGACATTGTGACAGGTCTCTTGAAGGAGAGAGGCTGTCACATCCCGGATCTCATTATGGCGGATAATGGTAAACCCACCAAGGGGACATGACAAGGCATGGTCAATACCATTGTCCCGTCCACAAGAGCAATGAGTTGGTAACCTCGGCGGCATCCAACCATAACGGAGGCACAAGCCGTCCATGAACTCAGCTTTGCTCAGTGAAAAACCATACTTTTTCAATGGACGGCAAGTCAGCCAACTCGAGGCGCCAGGTTCACGGGCGAGGACAATGGTGTGTCGCAAGGCGTCCGACGCATCATTGCTGATATCATCGTGATATGCCGTGCCGACTCCGCCTGGCTATGACGCACTTCCTTCTTCCTCTTCGCCTTCTCCCGCTGGATGCCAATCAGAGAATCAATACTGTACAATGCATGTATGCTGGCATAATCTGCCGTTTAAGCATATGCGGATGTGGAAAAATTGGCAGAATTCGGTACTTTTTCTGGTAAGTTTCATGCATGTTTGGTATGTGGATAAAGAAATGGAGCAGAATTCGAGGAATTGCCCGCCATAAGGTTTGTATGGTTCTGCCAATTTCACTGCTTTTCGAGCAGAATCTGCCACCTTTTCGAGCAGGATCCGCCGGTCCCTACCAACGGTATAGCCACCGCCAGGTGGCTTTCAATTCCACAGCGCGGGCAGAGCTGAGTTTGTTAGCCTCTGCACAAATATTTTAGACAATGAAGCTAGTCAACCTACTGGCCACTACTATTAATATTATGTGTGATATGGAGCAGACCACCATTGACCACGCAGCTAGCTGCTAGCACTAAAAAGCTAAATGCACGGCCCCGCTCCGCTGCTTTGCGCCGCACGAACGATTCCGGTACCATAACTGGTTCTTTGCTGTTTTCTCTATCTGCACTGACCCTGTACTACTGTAGTCCACACAGATGTAGCCAATTCAGCTTTTCAGTTCAGGAGCAGCAGAAAATTACTTGTCAGCACCTTCTAGGTTCAGCCTGGTCCCATACTAGCTCAGTTGGTTAGAGCATTGCTCATGTCATGATAACAAGGTCAAGGCATCTTCCGTGGAGTGTTGTGGCCGGTACGCAAACTGATTGGCGGGCAAAAGTGAATGGGTTTGTAAGAAGTCACACAGGCGTTTGTGGACTATCTTCTCCAAAATCTTCGATGCTATTGGCAGCAAAGATATGATGCGTTCTTGTCACCAGACTCAAATAGGGGTCGAACATTTGCAATCTTCAGGGAGACGGGCACAATGCCAGACGAAAGGGATGCAATAATTGATATGGATAGCGACGGGGCGAGGGCTGCTGCACAATGCTTCAGGATGAATGCCGGAATACTGTCGCAGCCCTCAGCTTTACGAGCATCGAGTCTCACGAGGAAGGTGAATACCTCCTCAACACTAGTGGCCTGGAATTCCCGCAAAGGATCCCGTGGTGACAGACCACAAGGTAGGGATAGCTGCACAGGTCTACTTGGATCGGAGACTACTCCACTGAATTGCTCGCTGAGTGCTGCTATACTGACAGAGGGTGGAGTGGAAGTTTTGGTCCGGCCGCTCAGCTCGTTTATTGTCTTCCAAGCGAGGCGTGCATTTGCCTGACTCCGTGTGAGAAGATTCTTGTAGTACTGGGCCCTGAGGCGTCGGGACATTCGCTTAGCCTCGGCTCGTGCTGATGTGAATACAGTTCGCAGATCCATATCAGTCGGCGAGGCTAGCCAGCGACGATGTGCTGCGTTGCGAAGTAGAATGGCGTCGTGGAGGGCAGGTATTTTCCAAGGACAGGGCGTGCGGGAGGAAGATTTAGGCCGATAGGTTCGGACAGGAGCGTGCTCGTCCAAAACGGAAAAAAATCTTGTTAGTCCAAGAATACCACATGGCATCCACAGTCTGAGCGGTTGAAAAATTCTCCATGTCACAATGATGCAAGTCATGAGCGAATCGGTTCATATCGATCCTTGCTAGGTTACGACCGCACTTGACAGCAGGGGGTTCCACAGTGCACTTGAAAGGTAGGTCAATTACGACCGCAAAGTGATCGCTGATGGCACAAGGGAGAACCGTGCAGGAGGTTATCGCTCCATCCACAGCTAGGGCGAGATCCAGTGTTGTTCTGCTGCCGTGGGGGGCAATGCGGGTAGTGTCCTGCACCTTGTTGCTGATATTGAACTGGTCGCAGAAGAGATTTAAACTGTCGAGCTGAGGGACTTGCGCCGGCTTACGTCGACATTGAAGTCGCCCGTTAAAATCAGCAGGGACGATGGCATTGACGCCGCTGCTGTGTCAATTGCCTTGGACAAGTCCTGCCAAAACTGTACTGGCGTACCTGGAGGTCGATACACTCCTCCTAGGAGAATCCGGTTTCGATGACTTCTGATCTCCAGTAGCAAAAGTTTTATGTTGGTGTGGTCACCCACCACTCGTGCTTGAAAGCGATTGTGGACATAGGTTGCTAGGCCACCTCCATGACTGGGACGATCCCTCCGGAAAAGTGCATGGTTAGGTATGCTGAGCAAGCTGTCTGCGGTAGAGCTAGATAGAAAGGTTTCCGCCAGTACCATGATGTCAATGTTTTTGAGATAGTATGAAATCCTCAACTTCATGCTTTTTATTAAGAAGGTGGCACACATTGAGGAACTCTACTCTAAGAGTAAGACAAAGGCCGCTGTTGCTGTTCGATAAAGGGGCTAAATTAGGGGGGGGTGGTCTAGGATGGAATGGGATTGCATTAGGGTTTAGTGGGGTGTCGGCATTCATGATGTGGCTGAAGCTGCTGCTTCTTTCCACGAGATTTAGCTCTGTAGATTCGGAAGAGACTGCAAAACTCCATATCAGCAATTACCAGCTTGTGATCGCTTGTCACTTCCGTACCTGAATAAGACCGTGCTTTCCCCACCAAGGGTCTGAAGCGCTCTGGGACGATGACATAGTCGATAGTGTTGTAGATCTGCTTTTTGACTCCAGTATCCGTGCTAGTTACTGATCCCGTCCATGTTGTTCTGTAGCGCATGGAATATTGAAACAGTGTATTGGCCAACACAAGGCAGTTTGACTGAGTCCACTGCACAAGGGCTTCACCGTTCTCGTTGCGTGTACCTCTCGAGAAGGCACCCATGGACGCACACTGACGACTGCCAACTTTGCTGTTGAAGTCTCCGACACAAAACACTAGTGTCCTCTTGTTTTTAGCTTGCAGTCCTTCAGAAAGCTCGTCATAGAATTTGTCTCGTTGCTCTGGGTTCTGCTTGGCGACTGGGTTGTTTGGACCATACGCAATAATGAAGCGAACAGGAACCCGTTCGTTGCTCTTGTTGTCGACCGGTAGCGACGGCAATAGGAAGTCCGCGTATCCTACACGGTCAGAATTTTGTTTGAAATTTGTTAGGTACTGCTGGAAATTGTTGGAGACGGCAAATCCAATTCCGCCATGTCGACCTGTCTCCTGACCGAATCCTATCAGACGATACTCTTTGTGAACACCTATTCGTTTGTCGATGTCATCCACAATTTTCAGCTCTTGAAGTCCACAGAAGTC